AACAACACGAACAAAACAACCAGAAACCAGAAGAGCAACTTTATAAGGCGAGCCCTCTCCTCAAATGCCCAGCATTTTCTTTTTAAATATATTTTTATTCATTTCAGAGAGGAAGGGAGAGAAGGAGAGAGAGACAGAAACATCAATGATGAGAGAGAATCCCTGATCGGCTGCCTCCTGCACGCTCCACACTGGGGATCGAGCCAGCACCTGGACACGTGTCCTGACTGGAATCGAACCTGGGACCCTTCAGTCCGCTGGCCGACGCTCTATCCACTGAGCCAAACCGGGGAGGGCCCAGGTTCTGCATTCTCAGACCAACCGGCTGCATGGGGCAGTTTTGGGTCCCGGTAATGAGAGATGTTAGGGGCACAACGAAAGGCACATAGGGTCTGATCGTTAGGTTTGATGGGTTGAAAACATCGTTGTTTAATAACCTGAGACATCATTGCGGGCCTGACTTTGGGATTTGAGGGTGGCCTTGAGCTGACAGCTGGGGTGTGGGCGGTCTGGCTTTATTTCCCACCCTCCGCCCCCAGTGGATTTTGCGTCATTGAATGAGTGGAATTTTCCATTCTTATATTTCCAAATAATGACCCGCCGGATGAGTAATATGAGAGAGAAGACGGCGAACAGAACGTCTAAATGATGCCAACGCGTAGGAAGCGCTCACACTGCCCAGCTTTTAAACCGGGGGGGCCTCTCTCTGGCTCCCCGCTTTGGGCTTCATGACCGTTTTTGGCAAATTACTGATAGCCACAATATTGTATTTCTTGTCTCTATATTGTGTACGGGAAGGGGCAGGAAACAAAGACATAACTATGTGTCCACTGAGTCACATTCATGGGAAAACGAAGAAGACGGGAGAAGCCAGATCGACACAAGACTTGAGTTGCTGGGCCCATGAATAGGCAGTTGTGTTTACAGCGTGGCTTTGCTGCTCACGGAGCGAAAGTTCACATACTTGACCTTGATCACCACTGGGACCCCCATCGCCGCACATTTCTGGGGCAGCGGCTCATTCATTACCTTTTCCCCTGGATCGCTCCCAAACGCAGAAAGTTGTCCCTGTGTTCTGGCCCAACCATGCAATGATGTTGTGTGTGTGTGTGTGTGTGTGTGTGTGTCGCAATGATGTTGTGTGTGTGTGTGTGTGTTTTAAGCCCAGTCAATAGAAAGATGACTTCTGGAGTCGCACCCCATGTCGCACTTGAACCCTAACCTGTGACGCTCACCTACCTCGAACCCACAGGCCGCGGCGTCCATCCCGAGAAGAGCCGGTTCGCCTGGGAAAAGCCCGGCTTCCCGTTTGCATCCGGCGAGACTGAGACATCTCGGGGCTGCCCCTGACATTTAGGGAACCTACCAGACGAGAAAGGAAGTCATTACAGCCCCGGCTCACCTTCGAAGGAGATGTCAGGAAAGGAGGCAGCGCCATGAAACCCTGTCAAGCCGTGAGGGCACGGAAGGTAACCCTGCCATCACAGATGGGGCCGGGGAACGGGCCAGCCTCCCATCGTCGCTGACACGGGGGGAGCCGCCCGTGTCAAAGGTGTCCCCTGCCGGAAACGTTCAGGTGCTGCTAAATTCATTAATGTGTCACTTTGAGAAGACGTGATGTCACTCCGGTTGTCTGCAGGGATGCAAACGGGCGGCTGTCAACACGCTATCATCTTAATTCCGTTTGCTCTGCACCTGGTCCTGCCATCTGCAGGGGTTAAGGGCCGTGGCCGTGGCTGCTTAAAAGGTTACTAATATCTGACATATATCATTTTAATCGGCCCTTTTCATCACCACTCCCTACCACCAAAAAAAAATAAAATAAAATAAAAAATAAGGGTAAATCAACACTCTTTGTGTTGCGTTGCTTGCCTGATTTTCGCAAATGAGAGGAGTATAGAGGGGCAGGGATCTATTCTGTTCTTGCATTTGTGTTTATTATTAAAGATAAATGTACTTACTTTTCTTTATAAGATTATGTGCCTCTGTGGGTCCAGGATACATTCGGACAGGAATCTGACATTGAAAACTACAGGCACCGGACAGCTCTCTCCTTCTTCGTTTATGAACATTTTCTTCAAATTTTATTTCAATCATTTGTTTCTTTTTCTTTCTTTTTTTTTAAATGTAAGGGGTGTCTTGATAAACGGGATGCAAATGCTTGCCCTGTATTTGACATGACAAAGAATATTAATTTAGCAATTTGTACCAGAAAGGATGGAGGTGGTTATAGTAGAGAAAGCAAAATTATAAAATAGAATACACCATTTTGTGAATAAAACAAATCACACTTTATAGTAACACGTCATCAGAAGATAAAAATTCTTTTTCTAAAGATATGTGTAGGAGATGATGGTTTTAAAGACAGGTCACATCGTAACAATTCATATTTTTTTTCAATTTCAGATATCAAACCAGTCTAAGCAAATTTCAGTTCAATACGGATTATTTTACAAAAGTGAAATCAGCAATGTTCGTACCCTGGTCCAAGGCAATATTTATGTGCTTAATCTGGTTTTCAAAGGACCAGATGGAGTTTTTTGCAACATTTTCCCTAGAACAACACCTTTAGAGTCACACTAGAGGCCAGATGCACAAAATTCGTGCAAGAGTAGGCCTTCCTTCCAACCAAACAAAAACAAAATAAACAAATAAAACCCAAACAAAAACCCCCACCACTTTGTATTATTTCCAAATGAAGGAAGCAGGTAATATGTATCTTTTAAAAAAGATTTGTCCTGATTTCAGAGAGAAAGGGAGAAGAAGAGGGAGAGAGTAACATCAATGATGAGAGAGAATCATTGACCGGCTGCCTCCTATACCCTCCCCACTGGGGACCCAGCCCACAACCCAGGCACGTGCCCTTGACTGGAATTGAACCTGGGACCCTTTAGTCCACAGGCCGACGCTCTATCCACTGAGCCAAACTGGCTAGGGCCAGGTACTATTGACTATTGGCAGTGTATTCTCTGATTCCCCCCCACTTCTCTCTCCTAAGTCTCCTCTCAGACTTGGCCCAGGCAGGGAGCAGTTCTCTGGAAAGCTATGGAGTGTAACCAGGGACCCTCACCCTGTTATAAAAGAATGCTCACTGAATGGGGGCTCATGGGATCGAATGCAAGCCCTACTTACCCCATACTCTATAATAGTGACCCGTTTCCATTCTTTTTAAAATATATATATATTTGATTTCAGAGCGAGAAGGAGGGAGATATAGAAACATCAATGATGAGAGAGAATCATGGATCGGCTGCCCCCTGCATGCCCCACACTGGGGATGGAGCCTGCAACCCGGGCATGTGCCCTTGACCGGGAATCGAACCGTGACCTCCTGGTTCATAGGTTGATGCTCAACCACTGAGCCACGCTGGCTGGCCCCTTTCCATTCTTATTCAATGGGTGGGGGCGACCAATTTCTGTTGACATGTTTCTATAACGTGCAGCCACTTGGCAGGGTGTTTTCGGGGGAGCAGTGGTGGGAACCCACAGAGGACCCCGCTGTCCTGATGGCGGAGGAAGGAGGACATTGGGCCCGAGCATGCTCACTGCCAGCATCAAGCTGTGCCTCTGACCCAGGCTTTGAGGAGGACACTGACATTTAAGAGAACCTCCCCAGCTTCATAAAACGCACAGGGATGTCTATAAATATTGATCCAAAACGAGGGCCATGAATAATTTATCGTGAAATATACTTTCTTTGTCTTCCCGTCTTTAAAAGCGGCTTGGTTTTTTTTTTCCACTCTAAAAATGTATGGTTAGACAAGCATATTTTTCCTCTCTCATTTTAGAGCCTTTTCTTCCTTTTAGAGAAAAAAGTGATATTTTCAAAAGATGTTGGAAGAGGGGGAGAGAGGGTGAGCACCAACAATATACACATTACCAGAATGGAAACACATTGCAGGTGATCTAATCTGGGGAGGGGGGGGGGAATATATCTTGAGATTATTTTTTAAAAAGCAGATATAATTTGTTGTCGGAATTTTGTCTCCTCGATGCCTATTCTCCGCTTGCAGAATCATTTAAACATCTCTTGTGTTGACTTGAATAAAAATAGGGATTTTATGTGTTGGAACTACGAGTTCCATCCCAAAATATTCTCTTGTGCGATGAGAGCCAAATAAACAGGTGGCCCAACACCATCCACAGCGTGCGTGACGCGGGGCAGCCGGTCTGGAAGGCGTGGTCAATATCCCCACAGCTCACAAGGAGGCAGGCTTTGATGGATCCCGATTCTGGGTCCTTTTAGGAACGTCTGTCAATATTTTCACAAGGGGTCAAAGTATCTTTCTCTCTCTCCCCTTCTCTCTCTGCACCCCTAGACGGGGATTCGTGGACGTAAATGCCTCACTTTAATTTCTTGGACAAGATTGGCAGGAGGGGAGCCCTTGGTTGTGAGTTCTCTAGGCTTTTCTTAGTCTCTAAATCTGTTCAGATCAAAGGATTTTATTGTTGTTGTTTTTTGTTTTGTTTGTTTCCTCCATGTTGAGCTTGCCATCTCAGATTCTAATGTGTCCCATCTTTTCTCACCAAGTCCATAGCAGTAGCCTCTTAACCATTCTGTAATATTCCCCCCAATATATACTGTGGGAAGAGCTATTGCCCTGAAATGGGTATCTACTGGGGGGGGGGAGGGGTTGACCCTGAAAAGCATTTGGTGACATATTTGATAAATGACTAGATTTTAGAAATGAGTATGGCATGCCTACAAGATATTCAGTGGGGTCATATGACAGAAGGGACCCCTGGGGGGAAGCTACCATATTCCCTGAATCATGTTCATGGCAGCATGCTTAGCTGTCTCTGCCCATGCTATTTAAATCTTGGCCATGCATCTGTTTTTTTAATCCTCACCCGAGGATATTTTTCCATTGATTTTCACAAAGAGTGGAAGAGAGAAAGAAAGACTGAGAGAAAAATCCATGTGTGAGAAACACGTCGATTGGTTGCCTCCTGCACATGCCCTGACCAGGGCCTGGGCAGGGGAGGAGCCTGAAACCGAGGTACGTGCCCTTGATTGGAATTGAACCCGGGACCCTTCGATCAGCAGGCCGACGCTCTATCCACTGAGCCAAACCGGCTAGGGCTTGGCCATAAATTTGGAGGTGACTACTTGAAGGGGTGATTGATACGTCAAACAAAATTGTGTGTGAGCCTCAAGCATTAGGCTTTCTGGAAATGTATAATCTTTCTTTCCTATGTTAATCTTGTTCTTACTAAGGAAGAACTTTTCTAACGTCACGTTAATCCCATTGTATTGTTTAAATGTGGAGGGGGGGACACATTTTACATTAAGTGCCTCTGTTACTTGGACATACTCATGACAGAATGAAAATATGACCATCTGGCCCAGCCGGTGTGGCTCAGTGGTTGGGCACAGACCTATGTACCAGGAGGTCACAGTTCAATCCCGGTCAGGGCACATGCCCAGCTTCCAGGCTCGATCCCCAGTGTGGGGCGTGCAGGAGGCAGCCGATCCATGATTCTCTCTCATCCTGATGTTTCTGTCTCTCGCTCCCTCTCCCTTCCTCTCTGAAATCAATAAAATATGTTAAAAAAATATGACAACCGGGCAATGTTACTTGCATCCTGTTTATGCAACGTGCATAGATGTACCGTCTCTATGGAAAGTGTGGACAGCAAACATCAGTCCCGTTTTCTTCTGAGCTGTCTGCTCCAACAGAGAGAGGGGCACCCAGAGTTCACACACGCCACAGCCCTCAGACAACGGTGGGAACAATTCTCCCGCTCCTTCCCTTCTGGCCTCGGCTCCCGGTGTCCCCGGCGTTAAGAGGGTTAAAGGTCAGGCCGGGGGACTTTATTGCTGACATCCCGCAGTCCTCACGGGCGGGATCACTAATGGGTGACCTTGAGGTTCGACCGCCCCAGCCCGGAGAAGATCAAGTCTCAGGCCCTCCTGCTGGTGCGCTGACCCCTCTGTCCGCACTCTCCCCGGCCTAGCCTTTCACTCACGGATCTTGGACCAAAATAGGAAGCCAACACCCGCCGGGGCCTGTGGTCGGAGGCTGTGGGCTTGGCCATCTCCCACGATTTCACGTGAGGAAGCTGTGGGATCATAATGAAATACGGCGCAGGTCTATAGTAAGTTATTATGTTGTTACTGACCGCACGCAACACAGATTCTGCAACAGCCCGTGTACACGGTGAATCCATCGTAATCAAGTTGACCATCTATTAATGAGTTGTTGGTGGGGACGCCACGGCTCCTGTTGTGTGCATTAACACTGACAATAGTGCCAGGATGTTGATTCCCTCACACGGAAAGAGACCGAGTCTCAGATTAAGTTTAAAAGACCCTAGCTCAGGGGTGGGCAAACTTTTTGACTCGAGGGCCACAATGGGTTCTTAAACTGGACCGGAGGGCCGGAACAAAAGCATGGATGGAGTGTTTGTGTGAACTAATATAAATTCAAAGTAAACATCATTACATAAAAGGGTACGGTCTTTTTTTTTTTTTTTAGTTTTTTTTATTTCAAGCGGGCCATAGTTTGCCCACGACTGCCCTAGACCAGTGGTTCTCAACCTTCTGGCCCTTTAAATACAGTGCTGCATGTTGTGACCCAACCATAAAATTATTTTCGTGGCTACTTCATCACTGTAATGTTGCTACTGTGATGAATCGTCATGTAAATATCTGATATGCAGGATGGTCTTCGGCGACCCCTGTGAAAGGGTCGTTTGACCGCCAAAGGGGTCGCGACCCACAGGTTGAGAACCGCTGCCCTAGATCCACCACAGACAGTAATGCAGCATGCACTAATGTTAACAGAGGGACCAGGAATCATTGAAGTGATTAGATGAAAAATATTCGGTGAGGTCAGCTGGGATGAATTTCATGCTTGGAGGGTAGGAGGGAGGGATGTTCCCATTTGGAAATGACTCTGGCCCTAGCTGGTGTGGCTCAGTGGATACAGCATCGGCCTGCAGACTGAAGGGTTCTGGGTTCGATTCCGGTCAAGGGCACCTGCCCGGGTTGCGGGCGTGATCCCCAGTAGGGGTGTGTCGGAGGCAGGCGATCCATGATTCTCTCTCATCATTGATGTTTCTATCTCTCTCCCTCTCACCCTTCCTCTCTGAAATCAATAAAAAATATTCAAAAAATAGTGAATTAAGTGAATGTGTTTGCTATTAATACGTAGGGGCCTGAAATATCTTTAGCTGGAACTTGTCAAAGTCAGACACAAATATATAGGGTGTCCCCCCAAATGTACACACACACTTTGAGTAATGATAAAGGCAGTGCTTATTAAAATGCATTTCATTTTCAAAATTGAGCTATGAACTGTCAAAGTGTGTGTACATTTTGGGGGGACACCCTGTATTTTCTTCTCTGGAAGAAAAGGATTTTAGGGGTGTACTTAGGAAGGGGACAAAGAGTATGGAGAGTCGTAACTTGTTGTTAATCCTCACCTGGGGATATTTTTCCATTGATTTTTAGAGAGAGTGGGAGAGAGAGGGAGAGACAGAGGGAGACATCGATGTGAGAGAAACACATCAATTGGTTGCTTCCTGCATGCACCCCGACCAGGGCCTGGGCTGGGGAGGAGCCTGCAACCCGGGCATGTGCCCTTGACCGGACTCGAACCTGGGACCCTTTGGTCCGCAGGCTGATGCTCTATCCACTGAGCCACAGCAGCCAGGGCCAGGCGGCTACTCTCTATTTTGCATGAGGAGTAAGGGGGAAAGAGCAGGGTGAGCTGTAACTTATATTTCCTCCAACCACAAAGATTCAATGTTACTCCCCCCCCCTGCCCTCCCCCCTGCAGCTCCCCGGCCTTTTTCCTTTACTGATTTTTAAGGAAAACACATTGATATCGTGAGAGAATGACTACCCCAGTGTCAAGGGCAGAAAACCCCCCCCCCCCAAAAGCCCCAGAAGCCAGAATTCC